CGCAAACTCCCGTGCCGTGCTGTGAGCTCGACGGAAGGATGGACTCCACCGACACTGGCTGGCCTGGTGACCACTTGTCACAAAACCCCAACCGAGAGATGAGGCATCCGTGAACACATCGAGCGAGGGCTCGGGGAGGCGCCATGGCACAGAACCCAAAAAAACCCACAGAGGAAGCCAGCAACTCAGCAGCTGATGCAAGACTCCTGGGATCCAAACCCATCAATCGCGAGAGCGGCAGAAGGGACAACCCCGAAGAAACCAGAACAGCCACCAAAGCCAGATCCGACCCGATGGGTAGACCAGCACGGTGAAGTTCAGGCTCCCGCACAGCTGCTCGAACATGAAACCCCATTTTCTGGGTAGACCCGACCCGGAGGCTCCCCGGCAACCTTCCCTCCCTCCGGACGGCGGTTTTTGGTTTTTCGCGTGTTTTGACACCCAGCCTCAGAACTGATGGGTGGATAGCCGGCGTGGGAGGTCTCGGGCTCCCCCTTCCCCCTCCCGGGGAGGGGGGAGCTGCGCAGACAGCGGCGCGGTGACATATGACGTCATACTAGTTTCCTTGTTTTCTGTTGAAGAGTTCTATCCACTAGTTCGGCTTTAGGTAGCAATTTTCACCAGAATAGGGGTTTGTTTTGGAATGCTTACCTTTCTGGATGCTTGACCCGGTTGATGGCAGACATAGAATGCTTCCTACCACCTTACCTTGAGGTTACCTTGAGGAGCTTCCGGGGCTTAGCGTCCCCGCGGCCCGGTCGTCGACCAGGCCTGCTGGTTGCTGGACTGATCAACCAGGCTGTTGGACGCGGCTGCTCGCAGCCTGACGTATGAGTCACAGCCTAGTTGATCAGGTATCCTTTGGAGGTGCTTATCCAGTTCTCTCTTGAACACTGTGAGGGGTCGGCCAGTTATGCCCCTTATGTGTAGCGGAAGCGTGTTGAACAGTCTCAGGCCTCTGATGTTGATAGAGTTCTCTCTCAGAGTACCTGTTGCACCTCCGCTTTTCAACGGGGGTATTCTGCACATCCTGCCACACGGGGGTTTCTATAGGCCATTGGTCCCCTTGCCTCTCTGAGGGGGCCAGGTTCTGGCCGTGGTCCCCGGTAGGCCCTAGAACTCCATACACATGACTGATGCCAAAGTCTGACATTAGCATATCAGCCAGTAAAGCTCCGGGGAGCCGACGGGGCTCCCCCCAGAAAATATAATGAAAATATGAAAAAATAAAAAAAAAGCTATACTCACGAAATGAACGGTACGGTAAACAACAGATCAATTCCAATGCAATTCACACAAAATAATTAAATCAAAATGAAAATAAATCAAAATCTATGAAAATTCAATTTATCAATGCAATCAGAAACATTGAAATGGAATTGTAACATATTTAGTATAGCATGTGTGCTGCTCTTACATGCAACAGATGGCACTGGTTTTCAAGACAAGCATAGTTTTATCTGTCACAGGTGTGGCATCTATACTTATACTTACGAAATGAACGGTATGGTAAACAACACAGCTCAATTCCAACACAATACCACACAATTCCAAAGCAGAGATGCAGAACTAGGAAACATGATTGGTTCGACAGAAATTGCGAGAGGGCCAGAGACCAAAAGATACAAAAATGGAATCAATATAGGAAGAGGCCAAACCCCCAAACATACCAGCGATACAAAGATGTGAGAAACAACTACATGGCAGTGAGGAGAAGCGCAGAAAGAAATTTTGAAAAAAAGGGATTGCGGACAAATGTAAAACAGAACCAGGTCTATTCTATAAATTCATAAACAACAAATTGCAGGTAAAGGATAATACAGTGGCACCTTGACTTACGATAATTTCAAGTTACGATGTAAATTTCATCGAAAAATGCGACTTGACATCCGATGGTGTCGTCGACTTACTATATTTGTTGGTACACGTTCGGGTCGACCGAGCGCATGGTTTCCAGTCACGCGGTCTGACCTGCCTCAGTTTACTACAGCTGCCCACTTAGTGACGATCGCACCTATAAGAAATTCCGCGTTTGTAGTGATTTTTTGCATTTTGAACATTAAAGTAATTATTATATATCACACCATGAGTCCCAGGAAAGTCAGTGGTAAGACTCAACATATGAGATCCCATGTAAGAATGACCATAGAGCAGAAACAAGAGATCATTCGTAAATATGAAGATGGTGTGTGGGCTGTTGAACTGGCTAGGCAGTACAACAAATCTCAGTCAACGATATCCACCATACTGGCTAAGAAAAAAGACATTATGGTGCTAAAGTGATGCATCATTACAGACAAATGTTAAAACAAGGGGAAAAACAAATGTCTCTTGAGAAATTTGTAGCGAGACAAACAAGCACTGAACCACAACCAGGTCCTAGTCCTAGTGGTATTCAGGCAAAACGTAGGAGAGAGTACCCCAGAGAAAACATCACTGCCTGATGTGATAATGGAAGGGGACTCCCCTTCCAAACAGTAACAACTCTCCTCCTTCCCCCTCATCACCATCTTCCATACGCCATCAAGAGCCCTCCATAAAGGTAAGATAAACTTAGGTACTGTGTTGTAGTTAGAAAAAAACATTGTATTCAGTATAAAATGTATTTGTATGTTAATATTTTGGAGGGTGGGGAAAGGATTAATTCAATTCCCTTTATTTCTTATGGGAAAAATCACTTCGACTTACGATATTTCGACTTAAGATCCGTCTCTGGGAACGGATTAGCATCGTAAGTCGAGGCCCCATTGTATTCAGAGGTTGAAAATGGGAAATAGATTCACAGAAAATGAAAAGGAAATGTGTGAAACATTAAACAAAAAGTTTCCAAGTGTGTTTGTACATAATGAAATCTTCAGGGAACCAGACACAATAAGAATTCCAGAGGACAGCATAGAGCACATAGAGGTGTCTAGAGATGAAGTGGAAAAAATGCTAAAGGAACTAAGTAAAAAGCAGTTGATCCAAATGGAGTTTCACCATGGGTTCTGAGAGAATGTGCACCTGAGCTCAGCATTCCACTTCAACAGATTTTTCAGGAATCCCTGTGTAAAGGAGTTGTAGCTGATGTGTGGAAAAAGGCTAACATCGTGCCAATCTACAAAAGTGGCAGCAGGGAAGACCCCCTTAATTATAGACCTGTATCATTGACAAGTGTAATAGTCAAAATATTGGAAAAAATAATTAAAACTAAATGGGTAGAACACCTGGAGAAAAACAATATAATTTCAGACAGGCAGTATGGTTTTCGATCTGGAAGATCCTGTGTAACGAATTTACTCAGTTTCTATGATCAAGCCACAAGAGATTTTACAGAAAAGAAATGGTTAGGTTGACTGCATCTATCTGGACCTAAAAAAGGCTTTTGACAGAGTTCCACAAAAGAGGTTGTTCTGGAAACTGGAACATATTGGCTTCTAGCATGGATGAAAAATTTCCTGATAGAAAAATGAGGGCCGTAATCAGAGGCAATGTATTGGATTGGAGGAATGTCACAAGTAGAGTACCACAGGGTTCAGTTCTTGCACTGGTAATGTTCATTGTCTACATACACAATCTATCAGATGGAATACAGAATTATATGAACATGTTTATTGATGATGCCAAGATAATAGGGAAGATAAGAAACCTAGAAGATAGTCATGCCCTTCAAGAAGACCTGGACAAAATAAGTATATGGAACACCACTTCACAAATGGAATTTAATGTGAATAAATGCCATGTTATGGAATGTGGAATAGGAGAACATAGACCCCACACAACCTATAAATTATGTGAGAAATCTTTAAAGAATTGTGACAAAGAAAGGGATCTAGGGGTGGTTCTATATAGAAAACTGTCACCTGAGAACCACATTAAGAACATTGTGCGAGAAACCTATGCTACACTTTCTAACTTCAGAATTGCTTTTAAATACATGGATGGCGAAATACTAAAAAAATTGTTCACGACTTTTGTTAGACCAAAGCTGGAATATGCAGCGGTTGTATGGTGCCCATATCTTAAGAAGCACATAAACAAACTGGAAAAGGTGCAAAAACATGCCACCAATTGGCTCCCAGAACTGAAGAGCAAGAGCTACGAGGAGAGGTTAGAGACATTAAATATGCAAAAATTAGAAGATAGAAGAAACAGAGGCGATATGATCACTAAGTACAAAATAGTAACAGGAACCGATAAAATTGATAGGGAAGAATTCCTAAGACCCGGAACTTTAAGAACAAGAGGTCATAGATTTAAACAAGTTAGGTGAGAAGGTGTGGAGGCCAAAACCGTCAGTAGCTTCAAAGCGTTATATGACAAAGAGTGCTGGGTAGACGGGACACCACGAGCGTAGCTCTCATCCTGTAACTACACTTAGGTAATTATACTTAGGTAATTACACAATATAATTCAATAAAAAATAAAATAAATCGAAATCTATGAAAATAAAATTTATCAATGCAATCGGAAACATTGAAATGGAATTTGTGACATATTTAGCATAGCGTGCATGTTGCTATTATGTGCAACAGATAGCGCTGTGTTTCAAAAACTCATGTTTTTACCTGTCACAGGGGTGGCATCTTTATAGTAGGTATATAAAAAGACGCGCCTATTCTAATGCAATGTTGTGTCAAAATTTCAAAGCAATTGGTGAAGAACTTTCGGAGATTACAACGTGTGCTGCTCTTACGTCCAACAGATGGCACTTTAAAAAAAAAAAAAAAAAAAACTGTCACAGGTGAGGCATGTATATATTAGATATATAAAAAGACGCACCTCTTCGAATGCAATGTTGTGTCAAAATTTCAAAGCAATTGGTAAAGAGGTTTCCAAGATTTCCCTCACAGGAAAAACACATGAAAAACAGTTATTCAGAAAAAGCATGTTTTTTTTACCGTCACAGATGTGACATCTATATAGTATGTATATAAAAACCTGGCTGGATGCGAATGGAACGTTGTGTGAAAATTAATTACTAATTATTACTCTTTTACTTGGTCTTGAAGGAAGCTGACCTCGGGTGAAAGGTGGCTGTGATGATCTATATCTGGAACCCGTAGGTGTGTGGTCTCGGAAGTCCACCTTTAGAGATAATTCACATTAGTTGTGATCTGGAAACCACTTCTCGGCGACTTCTCACAGTTTGTCATTCATCCTAATTTCCTCGACACCATTAATCGTCCAACCCATTTTCTTGATTTGTCACTCCATTAAATGTCAACATTTTAGCCTAACCAGAAACCTAACACATTGAGTCGGATGCCTAGAAAACATGAATATTTGAGCAGTTACTTTTTTATAAGAGCTCGTGTGGCCCAAGCTCTGCTTTAGGAGGCTGGGGTCGTCCTTGCCCTTGCTAGGGGTAGTTCTTCTCCAGCCCTGACCACAGCAGTCTCCGGCTTTGGAGTCTCTGTGCCTTCTTTTAAAATCTTTGATGTTTGTTGCCTTTAACCTCGTTCTGAGAGTTCCTGTGACTGCGCTGTAACCAATAATATTGGCATTTGTCTTTCCATTGGAGACTTTCAGTGCCGTGGAGACGGGGACCTGCTGCTTGGGTGACAGCTTCTCCTCCCTATCATCCTACCCTGGCTTTGCGCCCTGGAGAGACCATTCCAGAGCAGAGCGCAACTCCATAGTCTCCTATGACTGATGGATGCCTACTACTACTAATTATATTAGGAGAAATATAATTGCTCAAAATTCTCATTAGTTCATGACAGGCAATTAGATGCCTGTTAATTCCACATAACTTATCCCTAAAAATTCAACATTCCAAGAAGTTCTACACTAATCCTATACGTGCTAATTACAATTAATAATTCTTCCAGAGGGTACAGGATTACTCAATACACCAAAAGGTAACATGCAAAGTCATTTGTCGATTTGGCAAGTGTGGAGAGCATGTAAATCTGAGAGATAAGAGCTGCGAAGATAATTTAGAGGCAATAAATATGCCAAAACTAGAAGACAGAAGAAAAAGAGATGATATGATCACTGCATACAAAATAGTATGTAATGGGAATTGACAAAACTGATAAGGAAGAATTTATGAGACCTAGAACTTCAAAAACAAGATTTAAGCTAACTAAACAAAGTTGTCTAAGAAATATAAGAAAATTCACTTTCGAAAACAAAATGGTAGACTGTTGGAACAAGTTAAGGTAAGAGAGATTGTGATATAGGCCAAAACCGTCAGTAGTTTCAAAGAATTACAGTATATGACAAAGAGTGCTGGGAAGACAGACAACACAAGCATAGCTCTCATTCTGTAACTATACTTAGGTAATTACTAGATTTGGTTTAGAAACAAAACTTTAGAAACAAAATGGGAATTTGCCTACTAATAAATTAAAAATATGCAGCTATTATAAGCATATTACACATTTTAAAACAATTGTTTTTCCCTTTAATGTCAAATCATATAACTGATTGCTTCTACTGGTCTCTCATGCTCACTCCCTTCTCTGTATAGCCAGCAAAGATTCAGATGCCATTTGCAGTTTATTAACCAATAAAACAGCTTAATGTTAAATTCAATTAAGGACATTCACGTTAAATTCAATTAAGGACATTCACATTAAAAAATTGTATTCATATGTAATTACTAGGCGTGTATAATTAAATAAACAGTACTTATATAATTGATAATATTAAAATAATTTAATAATAACATACAGCAATCTGTTTGAAGATCCAATCGTAATCTATGACACAAGCGACCTGGACTTTCATTCATTATATGTTGGTTCTTTACTATTGTAAATAGACTCTACAGTTTGTTGTACATGATTCCAGGATTATATTTGATCATATGCTCCAATTCGTCACAAAAAGAATTATGATATCAAATAAGATTTATTAAAAATATTAACAGTAAAAAACAGTTTTCATCAACAATACAATGCAAATACTGTATTGCTTAGTCGATAATGTAAAAACAAAATGTGGTAATTCTTGAAAAAACTAGGCACCTCAAAAATCAGTGTTGCAAAGTTTAACATATCCTCAATTACCCATTAAAGAGAGTTTTGACCATGACTGTAACTATTATTACAGTGGAACCTTGGTTTTCGAATGCCCCTCTTTTTTTAATTTTTTGGTTCTCGAGCTCAATTTCTTCTAAAAATTTGACTCGATATTCAAGGTTTGCCTTAGTGCTTGAGTTTGTTGATACACGTATGGGCCGACCAAGCATGTGGCGCACTTCAGTTTACCGGTGTTTCCCCGCCTAGTGATGAGCGCGCTCTAATTCTTTGTGAAGAATTTCATTGTTTTTGTGCTTTTTTGGTTTCTGAGCATAAAAGTTTTTATTATATATCACTTATTATATATAATATGTATACAGTATTATATTTGGAAGGTCACTTCATGCCATGCGTTCCAAGAAAGTCATTGGTAAAGTTAAGCCAAACAAAATAGTTTTGAGGATGACTAGAGGAAAAAATACGAGATCATTCAGTGAGACAATGTGATGTCTCACTACAGACAAGTGTTAAAACTTAGGGAAAAACAAGTGTCTATAGACAGATTCTTAATAAGACAAGCAAGCAGCGAGCCACAGCCAGGTCCTAGTGGTATGCCTGAAAACGTAAGAGAGACTACCCCAGAAATGTCATCACTGCTGTTATAATGGAAGGGGGACTTCCCTTTTCAAACACTAACCCCTCTCTTCCTCACCCCCTTCCTCATCGTCTTCCATACGCCTACAAGGGTCCTCGATAAAGGTAAGATATACTTGTGCATACTGTAGTACAAAAATATAAGTAGCAGTATGTAAAAAATGTATTTTTAAGTTAATATTTTTGGGGGTGTGGTAGAGATTAATTACATTTACATTATTTCTTATGGGATAATTCATTTTGGTTTCAAAATGTTTGGTTTTTAAACCATCTCTGGGAATGGATTAAATTAGAAACCAAAGGTATCACTGTACTTTTACTTTTATTAGATACATAATTCATAGTGCCAGGTGACAGGCAGCCAGTTTATACATACATTACATGTTAGACTTACATCAAGGTTCCCCAGAGGGTTGAATTAATGATCCCTTCCCAGGATGCAAACCCACAACAAGCTGACTAAGTCCGGGATACTTATTTACTACTAAATGGACACGAGCATTAGGTGATAGGAAACATGCCCAACCATTTCTGTCCTGCCCAGGATTCGAACCTGGAATTCTTGATTGTGAGTCAAGAACGAGCCCAACTGTATTACTGGGACCCCTAAGATAGAGGACCTGCCTGAAATATTATGCGTGTTAGTGGCTTTGCAAAAATGTAATACTCACACAGCAACGTTATGTACTTTCACAACCTAAAGTACCTTCTTGAACATAAATAACAAAAAATAAAACAAATAAAAAATAAACAGATAAATGAGAGACAGCATGAGAGATCCTACAAGCATAACAGAGCGGATCTCATTGAAACTTAAAATATTGAAGAATTTGGAGGATGTTGATCCGGACAACTTCAAGAGGTCAGATGTATCACAGATGCAAGGTTTGCCTCGGATTGATGTATCAAGATGTATCACAGATACAAGATGATTCACCAACGAATATTAAAACCGACCTAACATAACCTAGTTTAATCCAACCTAACCTAACCAAACCCAATAAAGCCTAACCTATGCTAATACAGCCTAGCATAACAATATACTGTACTGTATATGGTTTTAGCAAACAGAAAACAAGCTTCGTCGAATAGTCTCATGTCCGAAACGACCATACCCCAACCCAAACAAGGAGCAACTGTTTCAAGCTCAACAAACCACAATGTAGAACTGAAAACAGGAGATGCTTTTCACCCAGTGTTATACACCCATGGAACTGCCTACCCACCAAAGCTGTAAATACCAAAACTCTGTTACATATTAAAATCCAGCTGGAAAAAATCATCAGGGCAAATGGAGTATTTTCTATTTTTTATTTTATTTATATGCAAAAGTTCTTACATTCTTGTAAAGCCACTAGCATGTATAGCGTTTCAGGCACGTCCTTAATCCTAATTTTCCCTGGAACACAACCTGCAAAATCGTTTAACAACCAGGTACCCATTAACTGCTGGGTGAACAGAGGTTACAGTTAAGCATTAACGACCAGTCAATCCTCCACAGCCAAGATACGAACCCAAGCCAAAGAGTTGAGGGAGTGTCTTACCACTGCACCAGACACTGCTAAAACTGCCGACAAACTTCAGTACCTTTGACAAACCGCCGACTGCCTGTCCTTGTGAAGGCCACTAGTATGTTAGTGGCCCTCAGATAAATTCAGGTAAATTAGCTTTGGTTAGGTTGTATGGGCCCACTTTAGTTTGGTTATCTTGGTTTATGTTAAGTTGAGTTGACTTTAGTTAAAGTGGTTTCAAAAAATCCACTGGCGAATCGAATTGTCTTATATACGACGTGACTTGTATCCATGCCAAAATGCGACTAAAAAAAATTCAAAATCTAGCTAGACAGAATCATTAGGGTAACTTGGGTGAACGCCGACCCGACGCCTGAATCAGTGATTCAGTGATTCAGGCGTTCAGACTCAGAGCTGGGACAGCCAGCTGGGACAGCCAGCTCTGAGAAGGCAAATAAGGCAGCTCTTATGGGGGTTTTATACAATTATAAAAAGCCAACTAATGCTACACCAAGCCTCCTAGCATTAATGAAGAAATATGACATATTTACCCACTATGATGTCGCTGCTGAATGTCGACCGTGAAAAGGCATGTTTTTACTCTGAAATAATCTCACTTTATAGCCAAATTACACTGAAATAAGTGGCAGAAACGCCACGTCAACGATATTAGCGTTTATGTTGTGGAGCGACTTATCTCTGATATATTGTTCCCTGGAGAGTGTTCGCTGGTGCGCCAGTCGACGGTAGACGTCGCAAATTTATGAGCAAATCTATTTGTCGCAAATTTATGAACTGCATGGTATGAACTAGTAAAATGCATCTTTACAACAATGTGTAGCATAAATATCCACAAAACATTTAAGATTTATTAAAAAAGCTTGTAGGGAAGTTAAATCAATTCCATAGGACACTGGTTTTGTTATATAAATGCTGGTCTCTATTCGTTGGTGTGCGTTCGCTGCTTAGACGCTTATATAAATACAGTATATTTTATGTTAGTTTATTTTATTTATTTATATGTTTTTTTAATTTATATACAAGAAGGTATACTGAGTTTGTGAAAGTACATAACATTGGTGTTCTTACATTCTTACAAAGCCACATACACGCAAACATAGTATCTCTGTGGTGTAGTGGCGTTCAGCGAGCGCTTTGTCGTGGGTTCGTATCCTGGCCGGGGAGGATTTACTGGGCGCAAATCCTTAACTGTAGCCTCTGTTTAACTCAACCGTAAAATGTGTACATGGTTGTAAAAACGATTCTTCGCGGCGGGGATCGTATTCCAGGGACCTGCCCGAAATGCTACGCGTACTAGTGGCTGTACAAGAATGTAACAACTCTTGACTCACCATAGATGTAAAGTGCCTTGTATAGTGACTGTTGTGAGCCTCTTGTTGAATCACTTGACACAAAAGCTTATTGATGTGTGTATTTGTGTGGGTGATTAAATATGTATGTATATATGTATACGTACGCCCACGGGATGGGTATGGGGTGCATAAAAATGAACTAAACTAAACGTATGTATATGCGAACAAGCCTGAATGGTCCCCAGGACTATATGCAACTGAAAACTCACATCCCAGAAGTGACTCGAACTCATACTGCCAGGAGCACAATGCAACTGGTGTGTACAGGACACCTTAATCCACTCGACCATCACGACCGGTCAAAAGCTGATGGTAGCCGAGGCTAATTTGCCCATCAGCCCGCCGGCACTCTGATGGTAATCTTGGGCATGGTATTTTATCAAATGACTTCATTTTTTGGGGCACACGTGAGGAACACAATTGCGAACAAGCCTGAATGGTCTCCAGGACTATATGCAACTGAAAACTCACACCCCAAAAGTTAGTTAGTTTAGTTCATATATTATGCACCCCATACCCATCCCGTGGGCGGTAGTGGAAAGGGTACCAAAGGCACATAATGGGCTCAGGGACTGAACCCCACAATTCATTTAGCTAAGCAAGTTACAATCTTGATGAGCTAGTTACAAAATTCAATATAATTTGTTACAAAATTACAAATTTTGTAACAAAATTAATTGTAATTACAAATTACTAGTTACAAAATTCCGTCCATTGTGTACAAGAGAGCCTCCCATGCCCTTTCCTCACCCATAGCACTACTGTTCAACAAATCTATAGAGTATCACACCTTCCCTGATATCCTCAAAAAAGCAAGAGTAACGCCAGTCCATAAAGGAGGCAATCCGGCGGACATAAACAATTATAGACCAATATCAAATCTACCCATTCTATCAAAAATATTTGAAAAAATTATTTACAAACAGCTCTATTCCTACCTCGTAAAATTCGACATACTCAGCCCCTGCCAGTTTGGCTTCCGGTCCCAAAAGAGCACCAATGATGCAATCATTAGTCTCCTTGACATTATCTACTCAGCCCTTGACAAAAATGAGTTTCCGATTGGACTCTTCATTGACCTAAGAAAAGCCTTTGATACTGTTAATCACAACTACCTCTTACTTAAACTCCAGCATTATGGAATCCGAGGCCTTGCCCTTGACTACATCCGATCCTATCTTAGTGACAGACACCAGTATGTAACCATCAATGATACAACTTCTTCCACTCTACCAATTACCGTTGGAGTGCCACAGGGCAGCATCTTAGGACCTCTTCTATTTCTTATATATATAAACGATCTGCCTAATGTCTCTAATATTCTCAAACCTATATTGTTTGCTGACGATACTACCCTTATCTACTCAAACCTCAACCCACATACACTAAATAATGTTGTGAATAATGAATTAAAAAAAGTCCACTTATGGATGTCAACGAACAAACTAACATTAAACATCGAAAAGACTTACTACATCTTATTTGGAAGCAAATCATCAAATGCAATTCAGCTACAGATAGACAACATTAACATCAGTAATAAAAATGATGGCAAGTTTCTTGGCCTATTCCTAGACAAGAGACTCAACTTCAGCACCCACATTCAACACATAACTAAGAAAGTCTCTAAGACAGTTGGTATACTCTCCAAAATCAGATATTATGTTCCTAACTCTGCTCTCCTCTCACTATATTATGCACTAATCTACCCCTATCTTAATTATGGTATCTGTGCATGGGGGTCTACCACTGCAAACCACCTTAAGCCCATCATCACACAGCAAAAATCTGCTATCAGAATAATAACTAACTCTGCTTTCAGACAACACTCAGCTCCCTTGTTTAAATCCCTAAACTTGCTAAATATTAACTCCCTCCACACATTCTCTTGTGTCAACTACATTTACAAAACCCTGTTCTTAAATGCAAACCATGCTCTGAAACTCTCCCTGGACAGATGTAATAGGACCCATTATCACCACACCAGAAATAAATATCTCTTTGATATCCCCAGGGTCAAACTTAATCTGTGTAAACACTCTATGCAAATTAAGGGACCTAGTCTATGGAACTCACTCCCTAGTGAATTGAAAAACTGTAAAACTTTTGCCTTATTTAAAAGCAAAACCAAAAAGTACCTAACTTCATCTATTTCCTACACTGAGCTTGTCGTCACATCAACAATGGGTTTGAGATCGACCTCAAGTGCAGGTTCTAAATTAAGCAACTGACATATGTGGAAAGCTAGTGTCACAGTTTATATGTTTGTCCTGCACACCGCCCCCCATCCAGTGGGTAGCGGTGGATAGGTTACAATCACTCAGTTACTACCTACAGTTATCTCCCGGTGAAGATGGTATCACTTATGACATATTGCGTCTGCTCCCTTAAGTACCAGGGAATCCCCTGCTTGACCTGTATAATATGAGCTATGTTACTGGGGAACTTCCTATCTCTTGGACCAACAGTATAATCATTCCAATTCCCAAGCCAAATCAAGAGAATGCTTTCCGCCCAATTTCCCTTACTAGCTGCATTTGCAAAACATTCGAGAGAATGGTCCTAAATCGTCTCCTCCATAGAATAAGAACCATGCTATCCCCCCAGATATATGGCTTCATGCATGGAAGGAGTGTGCATCATTGCATCACCACCTTTCTTACCCTGCACACTGAAAAGTCATACACCACCTTCCTAGATCTTAAGTCTGCCTTTGATATTGCAAATAGACATGTTATCTTGAGTGAGCTTGCAAGAATGAATATTGGTGGTCGGCTTCTTTGTTGGATCAGGGGTTACTTATCCAACAGGAAGTCATCTGTATTTTTCCAGGGACATAGGAGTGTAACAAGAGACTTTGAACTAGGTACCCCGCAGGGTGGTGTCCTCAGTCCTACCTTATTTAATATCTTAATAAACACGCTGTTAAACTCTATACCGAGCAAACCCAACGTCCACATCATTAGCTATGCTGATGATATAATGATACACACCACTGGGTATGCTAACACGCAGAACACTCTTAACTCTGTATTAGACTCATGTCAGGACCTAGGTTTAATTATCTCAGCAGAGAAAACAAAGATACTAAATCGGCGCCCACCCAGGCAGGGAGGAGCTGTTCGCAAGATGCAACTGTCTGATGGCTCCCAGCTTGACTATGTAAACAGATTCAAATATCTTGGCCTTGAGGTGCCACTGTAGGGTCCTGTTGTATTGAGACTCTGTCGTCAGTATAAAGAGAGGCTCCGAGCTCTCAAGGCTGTTGCAGGTTATCACTCAGGCTATGGTGCCAATATCAGAACTGTCAAAATGATGTACCTTGCATACATCAGATCTTTAGTGGATCATGCTGCACCTCTGCTTGTTTTGATGCCTGAAAGAAAACTTGGAGGGCTTGAAAAATTGCAGAACGAAGCCTTATGGATAATCCTTGGGTGTCCTCGTACCACAAAGATACTTAATATGTGAAAGGAACTTAATATTCTGAGCGTTGTTGATCGTGTTCCTGAAATTAACTGTCAAATTGGTATAAAAATGCTTAGGCTAACTTATCCTAATCCTTGCACAGAAGCCCTCCAGAATTTCTTTATTGAAGATCAGCATTGTTCCAAATGGATAACAAAAACTGGAACTCAACTCAGAATGTATCAGGTTCATGATTTGTACCAAGAGAAACAACAACGGCACTTTCCTGCACCGTGGGAGGTTACACCCTTTCCAGTTTTAATCCCTCCCTTTCCACCCAAGAAGCAAATTAGAGATCAGCCCAAGCTTCGTCTTGAGACAAAGCTCAACGCCTTAAGCCATATTGATGCTCTGTCCAGAGAGCATTCTCTCTCTCAAATCATATACACTGATGGTTCCCTACACCGCACCACGGGTGCAGCTGGAAGTGCAGTTGTTCTGATAATGAGCGATGGCTTGTACTTTGAGTGGGGAGTCCGTATAAACAATTGGGCCTCTACCCTTCAGACCGAACTATTTGCCTTGCTCCTTGCACTGAAATGTGTACAAGTCTCCAAACTTGATACATTAATTGTAAGTGACTCCTTATCATCCTTAAATGCTCTCAACTCTTTAAGACATAACTGTAACATGCTCGTGTCCGAAGCTAGACACAAATACAACAAAATTATTAAGCATGGTAACAGAGTCCATTTCATGTACTCACCTATTTGTACTCACCTATTTGTGCTTGCGGGGGTTGAGCTTTGGCTCTTTGGTCCCGCCTCTCAACTGTCAATCAACTGGTGTACAGATTCCTGAGCCTACTGGGCTCTATCATATCTACATTTAAAACTGTGTATGGAGTCAGCCTCCACCACATCAC